AGGATTGTTCACATGCACCTCAGCCTAGGCCAAGCCTCTCATATGATTTCTTTCTTTTTTTTTTTTTTTTTTTTGAGATGGAGGGGCTCTGTCGCCCAGGCTAGGGTGCAGTGGAAGGTTGCTCACTGCAACCTGCACCTCCTGGATTCAAGGGATCCTTCAGCTGGTATTACAGGCATGTACCACCACCTGGCTAATTTTTGTATTTTCAGTAGAGATGGGGTTTCACCATGTTGGCCAGGCTGGTTCAAACTCCTCATCTCAAGTGATCCGCCTGCCTCAGCCTCCCAAAGTGCTGGGCTTACAGGCATAAAACACCATGTCTGGTCAATTTCTTTTTTTTTGCTGTTTTTTGAAACAGAATTTCATTCTTGTTGCCCAGGCTGGAGTACGATGGTGCAATCTCAGCTCACTGCAACCTCTGCCTCAGCCTCTGGAGTAGCTGGGATTACAGGCATGCTACCGCACCCGGCTAATTTTTCTGTATTTTTAGTAGAGACAGGGTTTCTCCATGTTGGTCAGGCTGGTCTCGAACTCCTGACCTCGGGTAATCCACTTGCCTCGGCCACCCAAAAAGCTGGGATTATAGTTATCAGCCACCATGCCCGACCATGGCTGGCTGATTGCTTAATACTTTTGCTTTATAGACCTTATCACTGCAATCATTATGTAGTTAGTTTTTAATATCTGTATCTCCACCCAGCTGAGGCATCCTGAGGTCATGCATTGTGTAGGTTGTATTAACTGTTCCATTCCGTTATTTGTTCAGGGCCTGCTATGTAAAGGAGTTCAGCAATTTTTGTTAAGTGAGTAGATTGTCAAGTCTTGCTTCACCCATGATCCCTTGTAAATGTGACTTTGTTTCTGATCCTGCAGCCTGACAAGTGGCTTCCTCATTGCCAAGTTAGTTGATCCTTCCTCTCTAACCACTGTGGCTTTGGTACTTCTGCCATTCCTTCCTCCTCAAAACTCTCTCTCTGGACTTTAGTGACATCTCTTAATCTTGTTTCTTCTGTGTTGC